AGAGAGAGAATTAAACAACACGTACCTGCTATATTACTGAATAAAAATTTTTCTTTGGGCGATACCATTCGTAATACGTATGGATCATTTTATAAAGAACCCCACGTGTGCGATGGATTTCAGTGTGAACTGGTTTTCCGTTTTGGCCAGTTCGCACTCATTATTCACTCTTAAGGTGTTGGAGACGCTGTACATCAGGTCCAGGCAACCTGCTCTTTGCAAACACTTGGTTGGACTTGCTGTGTTGCGCTTTTAGCATCTTTGTTGGTATAATTTTTATAATTATTTTTTTCTCCCTGTCCACTCATTCATGTCATCCATGAGAGACTTTTTCTTTTCCTCATAATTTTAGTTCCCCGTTAAAGGTTCTGATGAGAGGGGGACGAAACCGGTCGACTGGTGTGTGTTTTTGTTTTAAATCTATCATGGCCTATAATATAAAATTTCTTGTTTTTAATGCCTTAATACGCTTCTGTACTGTTTCAAACACACACACACACACACACACACACACACACACACACACACACACACATATATATATATATCATACCTTAAAACTATATTTTGACCATCATTTATACATGGCGGTAATAATCGTAAATAAAATTATATATATATATATATATATATATATATATATATATGTATATGTATATATATAGTAGTATTCAAGGATACCCGTCCATTATGGTGGCTAGCCAATCCCTATTGCAGACGCTTGCTCAGGCACGTTTTGTGTTTGTTCAACACCCACAGAGCCCACATACAACTATGTTGAGCAGACCTTAGTTACAGAAAAGAACGTGTTATCACGTTCAATCCCTCGGTCACAATGACTCGTGACTTCGTGCTAAGGTTCTGTCTGCCCAATTTCAATCACAAGGCTTGGGTCAACCCGTAGTATGGTTTTCAGGCACTTTCCAAAGGTGTGGCACGCTTAGATCGACCCCTCCAGTCCGATAACATTTGGAAGCTTCCTCCTGCCAAATCGACCACGGAAGGATTCGAACCCAGGTCTCATGGTCAGAATGCGAACGTTCTAACCACTCGGCCTTATATATATATATATATATATATATATATATATATATATATATATATATATATATATATATATATATATATATATATATATATATATATATATATATATATGTGAGTGTATGTTTGTTTGGTTGTGGGGGTGAGTGTATGTGCGTGTGTGTGCATATGTATATATATATATATATATATATATATACATATATATATATATATATATATATATAGATATATATTTATATATATACATTATGAAATTGACAAAGTCCGACAAGTATTTAAGACATATTTTCTGTGAAAATTTCTCGGACATTCAGGCCGGTAAATGTCGTTAATACTGTTTCTTATAAACAAAGCATTTACTTAGATATTTCTATCTATAAAAAGAATGTATAAACATAAAAAATGTCTGAAATTTATATATGTATGTGTGTTTATATGTATGTGTATATATAAATATATATATATGAGTGCGTGCGAGTGTGTGTGTGTATGCGTGTATTTTTGGATATATATGTGTGAATAAAGACAAAAGGCAAACTTTTCTAGATCAACGCGTTTCGTCATCTGATGGAATTTATCAATGTATGTATATCTACATAGACATATATACACACACGCGTACCTTAATATGATCCAGCAAAGGACTTAGTAAAGAAAAAAGATTTCCTTTATCTTTATTAATACTTTTGACAAATATATTTTAATTATATCTGAATATATATATATATATATATATATATATATATATATATATATATATATATTTATTTGTGTATCTGTGTATGTGCAAAAGAGAAAGCATGTGAAATAACAAAGAAAGAAATAATCTTCAAACACTGCTGTACAAAAATACATTTTACTATTGAGTATTTGTTTTCTTTCAAGTTGAAAGAAATGAATTAAAAATATATTCGCAAAATAAAGTCCCACTAAAACATTTTGTTTTTACAACACATCAGAATTATTTGCGTTAGTATGATAAAAGACAGTATATGTTTATTTAACGAGGGATTCACGTTTTTACGTTGCTTTATGAATGCGTGTAATTTTTCCAGCAGTCAGTAGTCGTAGAGCTGTGTTATTACTACTGCTTATATTTTTGGTTGACATAACTTCGTTTGTATGTTTTACGTGTTGCTTACTTTACTTCAAAATCGCGAGGTTATTGCAAAAATTACTCGATAAATTTTGTGAAAGGTTGAGTAATTAATTATACGAAAGGTGTGAGCAAACAGTTTGTGGATACCTTTGGTCAAAGGTTTACTGACAACTGCATAATAACTTTTGAATTTATACGATTGTATTTATAGAAAATAGAATCAAAGCCGCTAAAAGTTAGATATACTAAACTCAAAAGTTAATTGGTTAATAAATGTTTTTCCTGATTTTTAAATATCTATTTTTACGAGAGAAAATATTATTGTTCATTTTCTGGAGAGATGTCTCAAATTTCGTAGCAGACAACAAACATCATTGTCTAAAATTTCAATGTCTTAAGTGCGTTTGAAATAACGTCACTGATTGGTTAATAAAGGCGAATGTGAAAATTCAAATCTGGAGCCTATTTTTTTTTTTGCACAGAATTGAGATTCTTATTGATATTACTTAAATCTATTGGATCGTTCTACAGTGTTTAACACGATTCGACACACACACACATACACACACACACACACGTACACACACACACATATATATATATTCTACAGAATAGAATAAAATTAGAAGAAAACAAGAAAAGGTAATTAAATTTAATATATATATATATATATTTCTTTATATAAAGATATGCTATTTTTATGGGATAAAGTGCTCAATATCAGAGCTAGAGCGTGTGTAAATATAAATATAAAAATGAACATTGAAGTCAACACTTAGAGGCGACAGTCTAATAATTTAACCCAAATAAATAAATAAACAAATAAACGACTTCCGGTAAAATGACCGCCAAAATAAACTACCCACAATGCACCACTGACCCGTATATATAAATATCCGAGAAAAATAACAGCACTCGTGGCTTCTATGTTCACTTATATATATATATATATATATATATATATATATATATATATATATATATATATATATGTGTGTGTGTATGTATGTATGTATGTGTATGCATATAACTGTATATATAATGGACTCTCCCGTCGGTTTCGACGTATGAAGGTCTGACATCTTAATTGATTCCGGTTATGAAATTTTGTGCGATAATCTTAAGTGGCACTTAAGACCCGCTAGTGATTTACAAATGAGGCCACATATGGAGCAAGAGTGAGGATTGTGGGATGCGATTACTGTTAGATTGGGTGACCTTTTAGATCTTGCTCCCACTTTTTGAAGACGATTCAGACAAACAGATTGAAAACTGCTGAGTGCACTAAAACACGTTGATCTCCATTCTACCCGCTCTAAGTCTAAGCGTCCATTCTACCCGCTCCAAGGCTAAGCGTTGTATAATAATGGCTGCATTATCATCATTCTTTAAGTGCCAGATATAAAGTCATTCGATGATGGTAGAAGCGCGCTACACGTGAAGGATAATATATATATATATATATATATATATATATATATATATATATATATAAAAATTACAACGTTATCTCATTTAGGGAATAGACTTATTTCAACCGAGGAAAAATTCGTCAGTCTTATGCAACCGCGGTATTGACTGAATTCGTGTCGGAATTAGAAATTTAACAGTGACCGCTTCAAAAAAAAAAAAAAAAAAAAAAAATAATACAGAATTTATGCATTTCAATGTTTCAGTCAGACGAAAGGCACAAGTCAGTGATCAGGGGGTGTTAAAAGAACGAGGTTTTATTGAAGATGTTTTATGTCATTTGTAGCATCTGTTACAGTTACATTTTTAATTTTGACACGAATTCAGTCTATACCGAAGCTGAATAAGACTGACGAATTTTTCGTAGGTTGAAATAAACCTATTCCCTAGATGGGGTAATTTTGGATTTTATTGTTTATTAATTATTTGCTCTGTAATAATAAATACATTGAGCTCTTTTTTGTGGATCAGTTTTAATATTGTATATTACTAGGACCCACTTGAATTATACACCAACGAATTTATTAACTTTGCTATATATATATATATATATATATATATATATATATATCTTACTTATTATAAAACGCAGATTGTGCGTGTCTGTCTGTAACGTTTATATATTGGATCAATTTCCTACATTTTTAGCCGATTTCAAATAAAACTTCACAGGACTACATAAAATTACCTTGTGATGGTTCTAACGGCGCCGAAAATGGGAAAAAACAAAATGGTTTTTACAAAATCAATTTGAAAACACGATTAAGACACATCGTGAGAATGAAAGGGGACAACTCACCCACGAAAATGTAAACAAAAAAAGCATAGCATGATGAATAAAAAAGCCGAACTTGACGAAAACAAAATTTTTATCGTCTAATGTTCATATTATTTTTAAAGAGGAAAGATCAAAGTTTTTTTGGGGTATTTTTTTACATTTTTTAATCGTTCCTAGCACGTCTGAAATTGTATTTCCATTCATTTTATTATTAATTTTGATATTTCATTTATGGAATTGAGATTAATATAAAAATAAGATCATATAAATTAAAGTTTAGCAGTAGTTAAATTTCATAAGATGATACTGTTACTTGTAGGTACCCTTCTCAGTTGAAATTGAAAACTCAAATTAACTTCTCCATACGTGTTTCGCAAAAGTAAAGGGCTTAACAGCGGAGAACAATGCTGAACTCAAATAATGCAACTAAATTGTATTCTGGTTGGTCTTCCGTACTTGATAATTACTGTCCGACTATAAACACAAAAATTACATTTCTTAATTACCATGGCTAATCTGATTGGTCCAAATTATACAATTTTCAAAGCGCTAGACAATGACAATCTCACACGGACATTTTGAAAGGTTGATGTTGCTTTTAACTAA